TTTATTTGAAATAGAATTCTTTTGTTACTTTATAAATGTTTTTACTGTCACTTTTCGTCAGGATAAATGTAATTTTAAATGCTGAATTTCTTAAAAAAAAAAAAAAAAGACATTTTTTAAATCTTATCCCAAACATTTGAAAAATAGTATATTCTTAAGAATATTTTGTATTTTTCTTGATACAGCCACTTGAAAGATTTATTAACAAAAGCATTATATATTTGTTCATTTCCAGATTCTCTCGTTAACCCAGAAGATCTATGAACTGAAAGGAAAAATGAAACGGCCGAACTTGAGAAGGGTGAAGAAGTCGGCAGATGCCATGCTGGGATCGCTCACAGACACCAGAGTCATGAAAGCCGACTTCAAAGCCAACCTCAAAACCGTTAAAAAGGAAGAAGAAAAGGTAACACTCTCAGATGTGCTGTGTCTGAAGAGACGGGTTATTTTAGAAATCAAGTGATTTTTTTAAAGGCCCGGTGGTGATGAAATGTTGGCATTTAAACCGCCCCGTCTGTCTGTCTGATGCATGTTGCCACGGTCCGCCGCGGCTGTGCAACCGTCTGAGTTGCTCTCATCTCTGTCTTTCTGTCTCACTGAAGCATTTTCTCTCCATCAGAAGGAAGAGGTCACAGACTGGAGGAAAAATGTGGAGGCCATGTCAGGCATGGAGGGCAGGAAGAAGCTTTTCAATGCCGGACAGTAGACAGCAGCAAGTGTTTCCAGGTTGCAAAGGATAAAGGGGCATTGTGATACAAAGCTTTTTTTGTTGCTTGTTTGAATTTTAATCACCTTCTACATTTCATGGTAAATTATTCATTTATTTTGCCAACCAGCTATGGCTTCCATGCAACATTAAAGGAACAGTTCACCCAGAATATTGTGAAAATGTACTCACCCTCAGGCCATCCAAGGTAGATGAGTTTGTTTCTTCATCTGAACAGATTTGGAGAAATTTAACATTCCATCACTTGCTCACCAATGGATTCTCTGCAGTGAATGGGTGCCGTCAGAATGAGAGTCCAAACAGCTGATAAAAACATCACAATAATCCAGACGTCTCCAATACAAGTGATGTAATGCTAAATTTCTCCAATTCTGTTCTGATGAAGAAACAAACTCATCTACATTTTTTGGGTGAACTCTTTCTATAAATAGCCATTTGCCATTCAAACATTTGGGGTTGGTACAATTCTTTAAATGCTTTGGAAAAGAAGTCTCTTATGCTCACTAAGGCTGCATTTATTTGATCAAAAATTCAGTAAAACAGTCATATTGTGAAATGTTAAATTTTAAATACCTGTTTTATATTTGAATATATTTTAAAATGATAAAGGGGCATTTTGATCCAAAGCTCATGTTGTTTGTTTGTTTGAATTTGAATCACCTTGAACATTATTTTATGGTAAATTATTCATTTATTTTGTCAGCCAGCTGTGGCTTCCACGTGATATTAAATTGTGATTTGCTGCGATTAAAATGTGTGAGCGCTGTGCTGTCCGTAGAGAGGGATTAAATAATAGAACAACTTCATATTCATATCATATCAAGTGTGTAAATATTTGCTTCGTAGTCAGTGTTGATTGAAACCAATAAAGCTACCGTTTACCCTTGGGTGAAGAGCTTGATTATTTTATTGCCTGTTTATAGTTTACAAAAAACTGAATATAGTTTCATTTTTAATAAAAGCTTATTGAGTGAATTAAGAAGTTTGAGTCCTTCATTAAAAGATCAAATATTTGATTAAAACATGCTGTAATGTCAATGGCACAGGAACTGCATGTCGAATACCCAGTTTAAAGCAGTTTTAGGTGTTGACCTACAGATGGCGCTCCGCATTTATACTACATTGACTGAACTGGCATTAAATCAACACTAGGGGGAGTCACAAAGTCACACAGACTTCTCAGCAGGCCACAAATGGAGCCTTATATCAGTCGTAGCGTCACAAGAATACCATTGTATAAAAAGATATGCGTCAACTGTTATACTTTTTATCTGAAATACAACATTTTGTGTGTGAACAGATGTAGTGGTGTTCAGAGAAGGAAGTACAGGGAGGTGAAGGGAAGGAATTTGGGTGGCACTGTATCCTCTATTACCAGACAGATGGCAAACTGGCACAGATATAACATCAGTCATCGAGACCTGAGTCAGCACGTCCACTTCAACACAGCAAAAAGCTTTAGGCCATAACAGACTCTTTAAATGAGCAGAGGAATGTAAATCTGTGAATTCAGCTGAACTAGATCAATGAATCAATAAGTGGGGATTCGAGCTTTGGAATAAATATTATTGTATATGTAGATATGACTAGTTAACATGAAGTATTACTAAACATAAAACTAATTTTAAAAAAAAATTTAAATAATTATTTATTTTATAGTTATGTATGCAAATACATATGTTATGATCTCACATTAATTGACAGGCTACGTGGAATATTTCCACAGAAGTTTTGATTTTGTATAAATTTTTCACTCAGAAACTGCTAGTAAATTTCATAAATAATTACAAAGAAATGGCACGTAACACTGAATTGAATGTGAAATTTTGAAGTAAAAGACTAATAGCATTTTCTTGTAAAACAAAACATTTTAGAGTGTATTTTTTTATTTGTCCCTAGAAAACATAAAAATACAATAAATAAATAAAAAGGTTTGCACTTTCCCTTATACATTCATGTATATTTTAACCTAAAATATTTATTTATTTAAATGTGTATAGATATGTTGTGTGGCAAGTACCCATATGCTGCAAGTTTTCAATTTGTCCGGGAAAAAAAGCCATCTAAATGTTTTTCAAGTGGATCAAAGTTATTTTGAAACCTTTGTGCATGATCTTAAAGCATGCAGTATCTTTTTACTATCCTATTAATGCAGGTTTCTCATTTTTATGATTAGCAGATTTGGTTTAGATTGGATACAGATGCTGCAATGTTAGACACACATTGTTCTTTCTCCCTGGAAAACAACTTCCAAAGGTTCATTGTATCCTGCCGCATTCTTTTTAATGCCAGGAAGGTTTAGGATCAATGTGAGAGAAGTTCAGAGGTCAAGGAGAATTATCAGGTTGTTCTGTAACGTCCTCACTTCACTGAGGTGATAGCAGAGATGCTGCACTTCTTCTTCTTCTGTATATTAAAATCAAAAGGTGATACCTTGTACAGTTCATTATTTATAGCAGAAAATGTAAAAGTGTCTTACTTGGTAAGTTCCTGCAGTTTAAATCCTCAGTATCCACAATCACGAGGCCATTGGAGATGAATAGTCATGTGAAATCACATCCTGAAAGATATAAAGCAGAGCAGATATTAGCACCCTAGGGGTTCACCTACAATTCTCTGTGATGTTAAACTCTCGCTGCTTCAGATGTCCTGGTTAAATCAAGTTCATGTACTCCCATAGAGAGAGACAATCTTCAGATATTCCCTTTCTAAGAGCAAGTTAAGGCAAGCGGCTAATATTTTCAGGAACTCATATTAACATCTGAGGTCAACTGATGTTAAAAACCAAAGCGCATTATAAAAGTAAACTTCTGAGATTCTCAGGCAAATATAGTGCAGGCAAAGCCCTCAGATCAAAAGACCAAAAATGTCTGGCAACTTCTCTTGTGTAGCCAAATTACAGGCAAAGCGATCGACATTTGACTGCTCTCAGTTTCCAATTCGTGGGGAAATACTAGGAGATATTTTGCTTGCAATTTGAGGTGAAGCACTTGAGCACTTCTGTTTCACCAAAGTCATATATGTAGAACAAATAAATCCTCGTTTTCCTTCGATGGTGTTTGCTTGATTTATTTGTTCAAGAACGCAATTTTCAGCCATTCTTTTTAATGTTGCCAAGACCCACATAAACACACTGACCTCAGGTCTAATACTCTGGTCTGATTCTCACACAATACGCTTACACACACATTTTTGGCCAAAACATCCTTGAATGTTTGTACCTCAGTATAGAGGCTCGGCATTTTAATTTGGTTATCATATTTATTTATTTATTGAGGTTATTACTAAATGACCTCATCAAATAAGTAATAAAAATAGTGCAGTCAAACGATTAATCGCGATTAATCACATTCAAAATAAAAGTTTTTACTAAATAAAACGTAAATACAATTCTTATAATCAGACTACAGTTACTTTTTATCTTTTTATTGATGACATTATTATTTAATTATAATTTGGATGATTGCATAATTAATATAGGCTACAGGATTATTCTATTCAACGTGATAAACGAGTTAGGTCAAAAGTAATCTATCAAAAAGTAGCCAGGTTACATTACCTAAAATGTGTAATGTAATATATTACGTTACTAACTAACATTTTCATCAGGTTAATTGAAACTGGCGTTACTTTCATGTCTCTCGTATCACGCCGCGCTCACTCTCGCAAATCGAGTCTCTTTTAACTATTACATTAAAATTACCTCAGATGACTTCAGTATTAACATATTATTGTAAATAACATCCTTGGAGTTTTCCTCTTGTAGCGAAAACCGATTGTTTTGTTCACGGTAATGGATTACTTTTATTCGCGGAAGCGTTAAGGTAAGATACAGGTAAGTAATTTAAACTCAAATCAATATTCCAAGTAGGCCTATTTATTTATTTATTTATTTAGTGAGTGTCAGTTTAATAAGCGGTGTAATATACAGTATAATATACCGGTCTTTATCGCAAAATAAACCCCTTCAGAGCGACGTCACCATTGAAGGTAGCTGTCAAATAGCTGTTTTTCAATTTCAGCTGCAGTCATATATATTTTTGGGATAAAAGCGTCTGCTAAATGACTAAATAAATACAAATAAATATAATAAAACGGGATGTGTTGAGTTTTAAAGTATGAAACTTATATATCCTATATGATTTAACTTTCTAGGCCTACATTTAATAATTGTTTAATTAGAACAATGCAATAGTGTTCGTTTATTCTTACAACGAATGTTATTGAATCGTGCAGCGCTTTAGACGAGTCTGGATCTGCAACTGTACTCGTGAAGTACGCGAGAAGGCGGAGGTCGGATGGAGTGAATGGCTGCTAAAGGGAGGAGCCGCACACAAACTCAGGAGTCCTGTTACTGAACTCTGGAGATTTTGGAAATGTAAGGAACAGCTCAAGTCATTTTCTCTTTGCAGGTTTCTTCGCACATCTAAAGGACGCACAGCTCGTTTGCCTCACCGCGCAGGTGAGTTTTACCGTCACTGCCAGGTGTTTGGATGCGAGTTTAATAACTTTACGAGCTTTTTACAAACTCTTCCTCCTTGCTTGATAAAACATTAACCATTTTTTCAGTCTCACTGAAGTCCTTGTTGAAAAGCGTGGCTTATATCGCATGCATTTTATAGTAGATGTTGAATATTATATATTAGTTTGCACTTTTAGAAAGTTCTAACTCTCTAAATCAGCTTTGGGATGCATACAAATATTTGTGCACTGATGCATGTTGATTGTTATTTGAGTGTTTGAGAGTTAAATATAATGTTTATTCAAGTCTATTTCAGATTTGCATACTTTATCTTATTTACGAATTAGCCTGGATGTCTTTTACAAACCAATAACCCTAGAAAAAGTCCTGGGTTGATTGACAGCTGCCAAAACTGTCTAAAAAGGCGTTTTGGTACTCTGTTGACCTGATTGAATTGGTTTTAAGTGTGCTTTGCACATACTGAAACCTCTCATGGGTTTATATGCTGTATTAAACCTTTTATTGCGTTGAGCTCTTTTAGGGATCTTAAGCTTTTATTGCATCTTTTTGAGGGATTCTGTGTAAGTAACCTCTCTAGTGTCCTTCAGCATCCTGCAATCTATATAAACAGGGCACCACTGTCCCATGCCTAGGTTAAGGGATGCTGTAACACATTAAGATTCTCATTGGTATCGTCCAAAATGGATTTGGCATTTTCTCTGGCTGGCCGCATCTCTACACTCTCTTCTCAAAATATTTGTGGCGTGGAATCACCGGCCATGAACATTTTTATATTGTTTAATTCATGTCAGTTGTGGGATTTGGGATGGAGCTGAGGGGGTGGGGGGTTTAGAGTGGATGCTTTGGGAAATTTATCTTCTGGGAACCATTGAGTGCTTGTTTAACTAAAGCGATGCATTTATGAAGCATCTTGATTGTTGCTGTTTGCGTTTTGGCAGCGAACCCATAAAAAAACCCGACCGAAAAAGAATGCAAGCGCTGTACTTATTGCAAACTATTCAAGTAATTTTATGGCCCTGATTATTAACACAACTGCACAGGCCAGGCTTCTACGGCAGCTGCGTATTCAGCTGATTCAGCTTAAAATGTGTGTGATATAATCTGTCAGATTGTGAGTTGGGACCTTGTTTTATTGCTCTGACTTTTGGTTGTACGAGTTAGAGCATGAGGGAAGATCTGATTGCAGAATGATGGGAGTGATGTGCTGTCAGAGTAGCAGCACGGACATTGAAGCGTGGTGCTCGCAACACTGCGGGCCAGTAATTGGCCATGAAACGGGATCTGATAACAGTGTGGTGTTTGGAAAATATGTGGGGAATGTCCTCGCCTTAAAATGAACAGACTGAACGTGGTGACATATGATTGGAATAATCTCTGGAATGCAAAACAGCACTGTTTTCCCCCATTTTGCACTTTTTCTCAGTTTTGGCTCCCTCTTTGTTGGGTTATGGGAACAGGCTGCCTGTAGGGGTCTACATGGTCTGTCTTACAATAGACCTGAGCCACTCATGTAAATCATGTTGAATAAAGTCACAAATTAACTGAGAGAACTAAAATTCTTCCCTTGTCATAACTATCTACTGCCAAAAGGATGACAGTAATCCAAGGAGAAAGACTGTATTTTTACAGTGTTTTCCACCATTTAGAAACCCAAAGACATTGGTTGTTTCTCTATGGGAAAAAGATGATGAATGTGAGGTGCAAATGAAATGTGGTGTTTCAAGGCACATTAAACCATGTGAACATTTATAATGGGATACAATAAGGGCCAAAAATGTCAATTCTGGGATGTCTATCTGGGATGACAATTCTTTTGTCTATAGACACTGTTTGACCAATAATGTTTGAGATAAAGTCTTTGTCACTTAGATACATTAAGCAAATGTTGTTATATATAATGTCAAAAATATTGTCTTTTCTTCTTGAATTATGGTGGCAATCTTTTGGCAGTAGATGATTGCAGTGTTTATGACAAGTGTTAGAGAGATTAATTCTCCATGGTTATTTTAATACATTTTTTCACATTTTTTCGCCTGCTAATGTGCATATGAGTAGTATGATATTATATGAGTAGTTTTATATCATGGTAACAGTATCTATAATGTCTACAGTTATTTTCCTGGAAAACAAAGTATATTATGCAGTCATGTAATGCCAGTAGAAATCTTTTGTAACAATATACACTACCGTTCAAAGTTTAGGGTCAGTATTTTTTTTTTTTCTTGTTTTTTTTTTTTTTTTTCTTTACTCTAGTGCAAAACAGTTAACATTTTTAGGACATATTTATTTCCAAATTGACTTTTCTATAATGCCATTTATTTTTTTATACATGCTTTAAGACAATTAAACAATCAGCTAGACTTTCATAGAATCCTGAAAAAATTATCACAGGTTACAAAAATATATATAGATATATATTAAGCAGCACAACTGTTTCTTATACTGTTATTATAACTGTTATTATAATGATTTCTGTAGGATCATGTGATGTGACACTGAAGACTGGAGTAATGGCTGATGAAAATTCAGCTTTGCATCACAGGAATAAATTATATTTTAAAGTATATAAAAATAGAAAACTCTTATTTTAAATAGTAATAATATTTTACAATATTACTGTTTTTTCTGTATTTTTTATTTAAAAAAAATGCAGCCTTGATGAGCGTAAGAAACTCATTTTAAAAACATTAAAAACCTTACTTATATCAAACTTTTGAACAGCGGTGTATATATTTGGAAGCAACTTATAAGATCATTCATAACAAATTAATAAGTCTAGCATTACCTCAGAAACAGCTGTTTAATATATATATATATATATATATATATATATATATTAAATAAAATAGTAATATAGTATAAATATGACTGGATGAATTCTTGTTTATATGGCATGTTGTGATGTTGCTTGCCACCTATAAATAACCTACAGTTACAGAGTGTCTTCACCAGATGTGAGTGGCATCTCAAATAATCAATATACGACCCACAATAATCGATGGAGCTGTCTTCATTGGAGGCATCAGTCTGTAAAACAACATGCAGAGTAGATTATAGTCTTCTGTTTGGTGTCGGACTGCAGGTATAAAAAGTATAGCAGAAAGAATCTGCAGACACATTTCTGCTGTCACATGGTTTACAGTCTCATACAGCCCAGCCTTATTTGGGCATTCGGACACTCTAGATTGATATCCTTCTGCTTCTTATCTGGTTTAGTCTACATTCACAGTCTTGTTTTATCAAGTGCAAAACATTTGCCAAAGCTCTATTTGGATCCCTCAAATGCATCAAAACATGTAATTATATTGAGTTGAGCTGACAATTTAATTTGCAAGTTTGCATTATAGAGGTTCTCATTAAATGTGCAAAACAATTTTCTAGATATGAAACTCCCATGACTGTACTGAAATCACTTTCATAGAATATATATATATATATATATATATATATATATATATTAAATAAAATAGTAATATAGTATAAATATGACTGGATGAATTCTTGTTTATATGGCATGTTGTGATGTTGCTTGCCACCTATAAATAACCTACAGTTACAGAGTGTCTTCACCAGATGTGAGTGGCATCTCAAATAATCAATATACGACCCACAATAATCGATGGAGCTGTCTTCATTGGAGGCATCAGTCTGTAAAACAACATGCAGAGTAGATTATAGTCTTCTGTTTGGTGTCGGACTGCAGGTATAAAAAGTATAGCAGAAAGAATCTGCAGACACATTTCTGCTGTCACATGGTTTACAGTCTCATACAGCCCAGCCTTATTTGGGCATTCGGACACTCTAGATTGATATCCTTCTGCTTCTTATCTGGTTTAGTCTACATTCACAGCCTTGTTTTATCAAGTGCAAAACATTTGCCAAAGCTCTATTTGGATCCCTCAAATGCATCAAAACATGTAATTATATTGAGTTGAGCTGACAATTTAATTTGCAAGTTTGCATTATAGAGGTTCTCATTAAATGTGCAAAACAATTTTCTAGATATGAAACTCCCATGACTGTACTGAAATCACTTTTGGTTATCCACAAAAAGATTTATGCACATAAACATACGTCATGCATTCTCTTTCTGTTTTTATTGCTCATTTGTTCTTACACTTTGGAAATACAAAGCATCCTCAAAGTCATTATGTAAAGCAGAGCTGAAATAATGATTATTTTAGATGACTCTTGTGAGGTGTTCAATTAACTTTTGTTAGCATGATTGACGTGCAGCAGAAACCTCAAGAGATGCAGCTCTCTAACCCTTCCCCCTTCAAATGTTCAGTTATTTCTCTGCTGCTTTGAATCCGATAGCCTGTAATTTTAAAGCACTTGATCCAGGAACCGCAGTTGTGTAACGCTGCAGCGTTTCTGAACGTTCTCAGAACCTCTGAGCTCCAAACGGACGGTGACGATCGGGAAATGCGGCGAAACGGGGGCATTCCTCGATTGTGAAGTCAGAGCCATCTGAAACTTTAGCTTGTGTTTATTTAGGTCCCTGCAAATATGCAATAAGTGACCCAGATGTTTTGCTAGTAATATATAAATCTGAAATTCCTCCCGCCTTTTACATTAAGTCCTTATGCAGCAGGATTCCAGGATTTTGTTTTTGTTTTTTGCTGTAATTTGACTTTGGGGTCTGTTTGTTGTCCTTTATTGAGACGGCAGGTTTCAGTGGAAAAGTCTAATGGTGCCTGGTCTTGGATTTTGAGGAGATCTTAAGTGCACTAATAGGCTTGCGCTCAGACCGCTGGTTTGTCAGGATTTTTCAGGGCTTATGGATGTTAGCTTTTGCTTCTCCACTCTTCTGTCATGGAAAGAATTGGATGTGAACTTAAGGGATAACACTTCAGTTGGGAATAAAGATAACAACTAAATATTGATTAATTGTCTGAATATGGCCAATTTTAGAATAAGGGAATGTTTACAGTTTTAGGGACATAATCGTTATTATTATGCAAAGAAAATAACTGTAG